GAATAAGCAGTGGCTTCTAAATTTGAAGTTGCAATTCTGTAAATTTATAAATTTATAAATTTTATAAGTCCTAGAGCATCCTCGACGCTGACTTCTTGATGGCTGCGTCTCCGCCTCAGTCCATTCTGTGATTTTAATTGGAGCCCTTCATGGCTTCCATGTTATCTCTCGTGTATCCTTCGGCTTCTGCATGTTTTCCATCTTTGTCTTTTACTTTTTTCTGGTTTATTCTTTAGGTTTAGCTTTTAATTTGCTGAATCTCTATTTAGCCACTTCTAAACTGCTGATTTACTTATTATAAATTTGTAGTTGTTCTATTTTTACTTTGCACATATTTTAGTTTGTTTTGTTCTTGTTGATCTTTTAATTTGCTTGTTATGTCTTCTATCTTGTGACTTCCTGATAATTTAAATTCCTTTATTGTAATAAGTGTATTATGCGGACTTATGTGCTGTGGGTTTTATTTTCCTTATTTTGTGTTGTCAGTCCATTTTCATTTGTAGTCTGTGAATTTTAACGATGAACTTCCCTTCCCACAACTTGTCTTTGTGGTTTATCTGCTGTGTGGATTGTATTTCTGCCTCCACAAGAGAGACTAGAGTTGGCACCTGCCTTCCTGTGCACGTGTAGCTGGTCTGGATAAACAACGACGCTGTGTAGATACTGTCTGTGTGCCTGCCTGAGGTTTTCCAGCTCTTAGGTCTTACAAGTGTAGGCTTGTGGTCACAGATTCTCAACACTGGACTTTTCTGGGGTTTCCTTCTCCCCACCATCAGGCCTGACTTGTGGCTGCGCACCATCACTGTAGTGGTCTGTTTGTCACCAGCTCCTCCATTGTGGATCGTAACTATTCTGCCCACATTTTGACTGCCCTGCTCAGACACTACATTTACTGCCTTTCTGGCCAGTTACACAGCAACTGGGCCAGTTGCACAGCAACCCAGGGATTTGCAGCTGCTCCCTAGGGAGGTTCATGATGTCTGCACTTACTGCAGACCCAGCTCAGGCTCTGCCTGGAGTCCTTGCCCTGTGAGGTCTATGGAGTACAAGAGGTTTGTTCCACAGGTGAGGCTCAAGGTAGACTGTCTCACAGAGGTGGATGGGGTCTTGATGTTCTTGAATGTGGCTTGTTACTTCTGATACCTGAAGTCAGAGCTGGATACCCATGGAAGATTTTCTAACTCTGAAAACTGGCTTTGCTTGTGTCTGCAGTGTCTCCCATGGAAGGTTGCATCCACTTTCCAGTGAGTGATGGAAGGAGACAGCTTAGATGTACGTGATCCTCGGCAGGCCCTAGATAGCCTGTAGGTGCTCAGGTCTCATGTTGTGTGGACTGGTTTGTCTGGAGCCTGAGCTCCAGGTAAGGTATCTCTCTCTGGTGCTCAGGTACCTCAGGGCAGTTGGAGCTGATCAGAGGCAGCTCCTTGGATGTCAGCTCCAGGTTGTAGCTGTGCAGATGCCATAGGACCACATTCTGCATCAGGGTGTGGTTGTCTCCATATCCTTCCTACTTTCTAGAACTTCTTTTTTATAGTGTATATCTAGATATCTCCCCACAGCCTCATGTGCTCATAGGTGGGGCTCTGGGGAGTGACTGGATTATTGGGTACGTGTTGCTGGGTTAGTCTGCTGATTGGTTTATCATAGTTCTGGGCATGGATTGATGGGCTTACTGAAGAGGGAAGACCACCCCTGGGTGTGAGTGGCACCAATCAGTAGGCTTGTGACCTGGATGGAATAAAAAAGAAAGAAGAAGGGTGTCTCACTGCTTCCTGTCTGTCTTGCTATGGATTGTTCCTCCTGTCCCGTGCCGCTGCACTGTGCTGCCCTGCCTTGGTGCCAGCAAGACTGAAACCTCTACAAACTGAACTAAAATAAACTTTTCCTCCATTAACTTGTGGGTGTTGGGTGTTGTATCCCAGCAGTAATAAGAAAGGAACTAAGAAACTCTTCCTCCTGATATCAGTGTTCACAGCACCTCTCATGCAGTGTCCAGTGCTGGGCTGCTCATGTCCCATGCACTTGACCTGTAAGAACTGGCCTTGGGCTAATTTCTGAGAGTGGGGCCTGGGTCCCCAGGAGTCACCTTGGGTTCAGAGTGGGCACAGAGCCTTGAAAGTTCTCTTGCAGCAGAGGCTCTGGTATGACCAGAGCTCGAGGAAGCAAGCTGGCCTTGGGGCTGCAGCAGTGAGCCACCGCCCCTGCACTGCGTTTCTGTGACGTGCTGGTGGTCTTCAGAGTGTGTTCAGGGATGACTTGTTAGTTTCGTGTAGGCCACAGCAGTCTCAGATGTCCCGTGTCTGCTGTGCCCTTTGTAAGTTTATATATGGCGTTAGATGTGCTGCTTTCCCACTTCTGTCCTTGCCCCTCAGCCTCTGGCCAGCCTCCTTCTGGGAGGTCCTGGACTCTGGTCCAAGTAGCTCAGATGGGCCCAGAGGCACAGAGACTCTGGGTCTTCTGCTGGTTTCTTCATAGGTGAGGCAGTGTACTCCCAACTCTCTTCCAGTTGCCATCAGTTACGTGACAAGCAAATTCTGTTGCTTACAAACAGGACCGTCTTTACCCAGGAGACACACTCAGTAGGAAGCGTTGTTTTATTTTGTACTTCCTGAGCAAGTCTTTAAGGTTCTGTCGGCACAGCCTGGGTACTGGTTTGTGCAGCGATTAATCGCCGGCATTTGCTCAAGTGGAAACAAAGTGAACTCAACTGCAAGTGGAATCAGTCATTAAAAAGTCATTACCAAATCACACCACCAGCCCAGTGCCTGCTCCTCCATTAATGGCAAAACAATTCCTTGGAAGGGTACAAACAACAAACTTCTATGTAGTATTTTTCTTGCTTGCCAGCCATCGCTAGCCTGGAGATGTAACAGAAAAGAACCCTAGTGAAGGGCAGCATTTTGGAGATTTATTGGTCAATAAAGTAGACAATTACAGCTTGTTTATGGAAGGAAATCCCACGCCCTGGCCTCTTGCAGCATTGACAGTCTGGTAATGATAACTTGGGTAACCAGCTCGAAACGATAAAAGTCAATAGGAAGATATAGGATTTCAATAAAATTATGACACTTCATAAACCTTACTGTGGAAACAAATTTTCCCTGGATATGTGACCAATTCCAGTTGGATTTGTAACTTTAATTTCTCACTTATTGAATTTTTTGTCATCAACTAATTACACAGTCCATGCTGGGTGACAACCACATGCCTCAGTTACTTCAAAGGGAAGAGGCCAGACACTTGGGGCAACTTGGGGCCCTGGGTCCTCAATTAACTCAAAAGAGGAGGCAGGGGCCCTTCTCTACCCTCCCCGTCCCACTTGCAAGGCAGGGGCAGCTGAGAGTGTGGGGCTTAGGTAGCTGAGTAGTTGAATTGGCCTCTCCTTGGGGACATGGTTGGGCTTCTGCCAGTGAGGTAAGAACAGAGAATGTTGTATGGATTCCAGCTTCTGGGGAAGACCTTGCTCCCAGGTGGGTTGAGCAAATAGATCTTCATCAGGGTTGGGAACATGCTCACTGAGGCAGTGCTAGTGCCAGCAGACTCTGTAGCTCACTCAGAGAAACCACCAGCCTGGGGCCTGGTGAGGTCATGCAGGGCTGCCTGATTTTCCCTCAGTTCCCTTCCCAGGATGTATGTGTTGAAGATGGAATATGCCAGTGAGCGGGTGGGAATTGCTTCCTGGCCCTGTAACTGGGTGCTGATGAACAGTACTAATACAGTTCTGTCACTTGACGGGTATCTTGTTTACAGGGTGGCTCACCAGACACTTAGGCCATGGCAGTGTTGACTGCATAGCTGTTCTCACTACCATCCTGCTAAGAAAGGAACTGAGACTCGGTTAATTAGATTGCTGACCTCAGAGCAGAGTAGGTTTGAACCCTGGCTGTGGAAGCCAGCCCCAGTGTCCTCACCATAAACTCACAGATTGGTGTGCTTGGAGCCAGGTGCAGGCACACACCAAAGTGCCAATGAGAAGTGCTGGGTCAGCTACCCAGACCTGCATCATCTGTCCATGCCCACCTCCTTCCAAGTTGGCAGGAGGATGCACACGGAAGGAATGGAAGAACTGTGCTGATGTGCACTGAGCTGGGGGTGGGTTCTGGCCTGGCTTAGTGATCTCCTGGGGCTGGGCCTATGTGGCATCTGGGGCCAGAGGAACCCAGTGGCTCTGAACTGTTAGGTCCAAATCTCAGAACCCCCATCAGGGGAGAGAGGAGCTCAACAAGCAGCCCAGGGAAGGCCAGGCTTTCCTGGCCAGGCCACACCCCTCACACAATCTGCAGAGCAACTCCCACCTGGGGCATTCTCCCTGCTGGCATAGCAGATGACTTGCCCCTTAGGGGTCATATGACAAATGCTCCAGCATTCAGGGCAGGAATCGGTCCCAGTTCTGTCCCAGACTCTAGACCCTGGCTTCTTGTTCCCACTATCAGCTCCTGCACTTCTAGCAGGGCACAGATGGGTAGTGACTTCTCTCCCATACTCCCGACACCGTGATTGTCTGTCATCCTAGGAAAATGGATCTTGGCGTCACAAAATAGCACTTTGCACTTGAGAGGAGGTGGGGTGCTGAGCATGGCTAGTGCCTCATCCATGAACTCGGGGGGGGGGTGGACAAGGGGCTTGCTGAGACCACTGTGGTTGGAGCTGGCTTTCAGAGAGCTTTAGGAGCAGTAGGTTTCTCACCCCAGTGGGACCCTGTGGCCTCCCTGCTCTGTTTGGTCCTCACTCATCAGGCTGCTGTTTGTATCCTTGCCTGAAGTATTACTGGTCAGAAGCTAAGCAGCAAGGGAATATCCAGCCTGGCACTGAGACAGGCTCTTGGGAAAGCCCTCTCAAGTGGGCTGTTTTAAGGAGGGCACTATTGGCGGGTACTTGGGAACCCAAGTCCTGAGCAATTTGAGGTTCCCCTCCTGTTTCTACCAGACACCTGTCTCTATACTCCTTCTAGCTATCCGCAGTGTCTCCTTCCATTCTGACGATCTGCTCTCTGCCCACAGGAACGGGATGGCATGCGTGCCATCCTAGGGTCCTACGACAGCGAGCTGACCCAGGCTGAATACTCACCCCAGCTGACACGCCGCATGCGGGAGGCCGAGGACATGGTGCAGAAAATGCATGCCCACAGCTCAGAGATGGAGGTGAGTCTGGTGGAGGGTGGTCAGCCATGGGGGCCATGAGGGCGGGGCTGGAGTGTGTGGAAAGGCATAGTTGGAGGTCAATAGTTTACACATAGAGTCTACTTTAATTCTCATGATAGTATTGAGCAGCCAGGGTACCCCAGGCAGCTCTAGTCAGCAAATAGGTGATGGGGTCAGTGTGAGATCATGGTGCCCTTGTGCTGCATCCCTGAGGGGCAGGTTCTCTTCACCATGTGCTCTGTTATGTCCTTATCCTGCGGTTGTCAGTGTATGCCAGCGAAAGTGCTCAGTCTGTGGCCTGTCTTTTTTCCCCATTGTACCTAGCACCATCTTGTTATCTTCTGTGAAGCCCTGTGCTTTCTTCTAGTGATGGACACAGGATCAGTCCAGTTTTGAAGAGCCTGCCTCCCAAGTCCTCTGGCACCATGGGCCTCTAGCTTAGCTCATGGCTGTGTATGCTAATGGAACCCAGGAGCCTGTGTCCCATTCCCATGCCCTCATGGCTCCTTTCTGGGTGGCCTGCATGGCTCTGGGCTCCTACTTGCTTGATGGGCCTGGGCCCCGAAGATGTCATTGTCTTGGGCAGTGCTCCCCAGCAAACCATCCCTTCCTGAGCAGTGAGAAGGAGCAGCTTGCTCACTGCCCTGCAGACACAGCACAGCCCTTCTGAGTGTGGTGGGATCCCTGGCCTTGAACACAGGCAGGGGTTCTTAGATGCCAAGAAAATCATCGCAGGTGTGGTGACTGAGTCCTTTATTGCCATCCTTCAGTGCTGCTTTCACTGTGTCCCTAGAAACAGGTGCTGTCCTTGCCTAGAGTTTGCTAATGAAGAAACTGAGGCACAAGGTCTAAGGTCATACTTGGGTCACAGATGGCACAGGTGATGCCAGGCCAGTACATGTGTCTGCAGGCCCGGGTGGTCTAGCATGAGCCATGAGCTACCTCTTCTCTTCTGGGGTCCAGGGTGTCTGCAGCACAGCCTGTGGCCCATGAGCTCTGGTCCTAGGCTCACTTTGACAACAGTGAGCCTCAACCCATGGTACAGAGAGAAGTGCTGGTGTGAGCCACCATCTCTCAGTCCAGGCAGCTTGACCACACCTTCTTCGGCCTGCATGTGTGGATCACTTCTGAACTTCTGGCTGAGGTGGCCTGGGTCTACCACAGTCATTTCTCAACTGCGTTGTATGTGCACCCTGATGGAACCTCTGCTTCTTTGGAGCTGAGCTTCCAGATGGAGATGACATTTAATAAACAACAAAAAGCCAAGTTGCCATTAGTGTTGCTGAGCTGTGGAAGAGGGGTCTTGTGTGAGGGAGCAGCAGGGAGCTGTGCAGCTGTGGTCTGGGACTGGAATGACTGTGAATGGAGGCTGTCTGCCTAGTGCACCTGAACTTGGCAGTCACCTGGGGGTAAGGGAGGAACACAGAGGCTTGGGCTATCCCAGCTCATGCCTGGCCCAGGCTGCCATCACACACACACCCCTTCTCTTTCCTGCTTTCCTCACTGAGCCTGTGCAGGCCCTGGGGGTTGTGTTGTGTCCCCGCCTGGAGGAGGTGTGTCAGCCCTCATTGACACTCTTCATAGGGTGTGCCTCTGGAGTGAGTGACACCCTCATGTCCTGTGCAGCACCATGGGCCCCACTGCAGAGCTATAGGGACTCATCCTTCTGCCTCTGAATAGCATCTGGTAGCCAAGAGTGGGGCCCACTGTGAACAGATCTGCACAGATCTTCCATCGTCATCTAAAAGGTTAACTCCAGCTATACCCAGTGAAATCATCATAAATTTAAGTGCGTTAATAGCCATTTTATTACAACACATTTGGCTCCATATGAAGCGTTAATGAAGAGAGATTTTCAAGGAGGGCTAACACTTTCCTGTTGTCCTGGAATTTCTCACATTGAGGGATCCCTGTCTGCACTGGCCATATGCACCCCATACTGGTCATTAGGAGCCCCACAGTTTGTGTACAGCTATGCCAAATACTCTGGGCTCTGTCATGTGATCAGAGCTGTCGGTGACCTCAGCACTCATGGACAGTCACGCTCAATGACTGCCTTGTGGGCAGCTCAGCAGGCCTCATCCTCCCCCTGCTTGTGGTGTGCATTGGGGAGACCCCTCCTCCCTTGGTGGGACATGAAGATGGCAGATTGCTGTCCTTCTTTGCCTATAGAGTTATGGGAGAGTTGGCAGATACAGGCTCAAAGACCCAGCCAATGGAGAGTGCAGTCCTGCATCACTAGCACCAACTGTTCCTCTCTCCACCATCACTGGGAGTATCCTGGGGCCAGTCAGGTTGGGACTGAGGAACTGACCCTCCCCTCACCTGAGGTCTTATTATGGCCTCCTTCTTACAGGGACAGGCACGGTGGCCTCCTCCTAGCCCCTGTCCTCTGCATCCAGGCTGTTTTGGGATGGAGACATCCACAGGCATGCTCTGCACCCACCCGTAAGGGCTGCCAGTCACTGCCTGCTGCCTGGAAGCCGTGGAGTACCACCTGCTCCCACACTTTGGTTTGGCACTCTGTCTCTAAGTTCAGCTTTGCCCACTTGCAGCAGACCCTCCCCTCCTGGATTGTGCTGCAGCCTGGGGGAGGGAAGCTAGGATTGTGCAGCCCCTGGCCCATTGAGGATTGAGAGTGGTTATACTCTGTGCTCTGGAGATCCTGCTCGGGTACCTCCTGTGGAGTTCTGTACAGATGCCTGGCTATATTCCAAAAGGGAAGCTGTGAGCCTCCTACTTCCACCAGGTGGCAGCAGACAGGTCCATGGCCTGTTCCTAGGCCTAGGGAGGGCCAGCTTCCTATGGGGATGGGGCATGTCTGGAGGAGCTTATCCTAGGACAGGGTTAGATGAATTCAGAGGATCCCTGACCTGGGATAGGATGGGGCAGGTCCTGGCAGAACCAACCTGGGATGAGGTAAGAGGTCTGAGAGCCCTGCAGTTGCAGGGGTCTGCTATGGAGGAAACTCAGTGGGAGGTGAGGACTCCTGTTTCCTAACAGTCCTTTTTGAAGCCTGTGCTGGGTGGAAGGACAACACCCTTCCTTTACCTCCCTTTTAGGCCATTACCCAGTGGTTTGAGGAGGAGTAAGATGAGGATGCAGCCATGCCTGGAGCCAGGTGTTTGGTAGAAACTGGCTGCCAAATGTCAAGGAGGTGGCTGGGGGTCTGGGGACTCTGAGGCCGGAAGGGATCCAGGTTAGCTCCCTACTGAGCACAGTGCTGCTCATAAGAAGACAGTGAGGCCCTGGCCAGCAAGTGATGGCTAGAGGTGCAGGCTCAGGATAACTCTGATAGGTGGGCACCTCCTCTGGGGCCAGTTTCTCTCAGTGATGTAGGACTGATGGGGTAAGGGATTCAAGGACTCTGTAGATGCCTTGCCTTCTAAGATCTATTTCTATTCACTTCCTGGTGACACAGCCTTATCCTCACAGGGAGATAGTTCAGCCGTCTAGGAGCAGGATTTAGGAAGAACATGGGCCAATAGCATGGAGGGATTTCTCCCAAACTAGGTGACATCACAGAAATACCACATGTAGAGAACACCTAGTAAGCTGGTTTTCCAACTTGCGGGTGCACCTTTTAAAGTGAAAATATAGTGTAGTAGTGAAGCAATCAGGAAAGCACATGAACCCCAGGCCTGGTCCCTGTGCTATCCAGCCATTGGTCTTCCGGGGCTTGGAATCCTCACTGCCTAAGTTTCAAATGAATTCATGGGGCTACAGTGAGCTTGGCTCCAGGTGTGGCTCCATGGGTAACTCTGACAGTATGGGGACCTCAGAGGACCGATCTTTAAGACAAACATCCTACATGAAGTCTTCTCTCCACACTACTCCAGAGGGCCTCTGCAGCCCAGCTGGCCTGGCTGTAGCTCTGCCCTGTGCCTCCTGAGCCATTACCCTCAGTGGAAGGGCATCTGGGGGTACCGGGGCTGCAGGAGGCCTCACAGGGGACCCAGCTCCTAGAGAACCCTGGGTCTTGGTCTCCCCACAGAAATAAGATAGGGAGTGGGGCAACATGGCCATGACAGGCCACAAAGCAGGTTAACAGAGATAGAGGTGTAGAGTCCCATGAAAGTCAGGGCAGTGCCCCATGTGAGGTAGGCATGAAGATAATACCCACCTATCAGCCTGCATCTCCAGCCATCACTTGCTGCTCAGGATCTCATTGTCCTCTGTGAGATCTGACAGTCTACCCATGGGTGAAGTCTACCTCCCTCCCTCCAGCTGTGGCCAAGATGAGTGCTGCTTTCCAGAGCAGAAGCAGGTGAGAACATAGACAGCATTTGTGAGCTGGGGACAGGTCTAGGAAGGCTGGGCCCTACTGGCGGCAGGAGTCCTCCCAGGCAGCTTCAGGCCTCATGGGCTCTTCATGGGCTGGGGTTGCCCTGTGCGGCCAGGCTGTGGGGTTGGAGGAAAAGACCACCCTTGTTCCCCAAAGAGCTCTGACTTCTGGGCAACCATCCAGCTGCTCTAGGCTCCCAGGCTGCTGCTGCAGAGCTGCTGGGGCATCCTGGTCCTCCTTATCCAGAGGCTGGTGGGGAAGCCACTGGAGCTGGGAGAACAAAGGAGATGTACTGGTAGAAGGTATGGGGTGGCAGATTGTATTCTCATGGCCTATTGCTAGTCCAGGCCCACTCCAGCTCAGTGCAGCCAGTGCTACGCCCAGCCTGGAGATCCACAGCCAGAGTCCCTTTCTGTCTCCAGCCTGACTTTTTTGGGGGACAGGCCTCTGGGTGAGTCATGGACACCCTGGCTTTTACTCCAAGGTAATTAATCAAGGTGATGGACATTGCTTTCTCCTCAGCAAGTGCTCTGGGCTGCAGGTCCCTGGCTGTGGCCTGTACAGTCTCATCCATCTTCTCACTGGCCACGTGGGGCAAGGCAGAGCCTCCCTCCCTTTTGCAATGGCGGAAGCTAAGGCTCAGGGTAGAGAAGAGTGGCCCGAGGTAGACCTTCGTGTTTGTGACTATACCTCAAGGGTGTGTCTGTGGGCCGGTGGGGTCCTCAGGGCCAGGCTGGACAGGTGCAGGTTCCAGGCATACATGGCCAGGGAGCTGGTAGTGCCTTGTTCTCTCAGAACTCCTGTCCTGTCCCTGTAGCTTCCTCTACCAGCTCTAACATAGGCAAAACATTTCAGTAAAACAAACTGGAGATGTTGAGTTGGGAGAATCCCAGTGGCCCGGCTCTGGTAAGGGCTGTGCCGTTTTGCACGGATTTTATTTATTCCATTTAATAAAGCAGCTGCAGAAGATGGTAGCAGATGTCATGAATCCTCTGTCAATGGAGCTATAAATACGAGTGTGTGGCACCTTGATTCCACACATCGGCCTGATCTGTGTTTCCAATTTATTTAATTAAAACAGATTACGGTGCTGCTGGCTGTTTGGTGATATGTGGAAAATCCCAATTTCAGATCAGAGTGAATCTAAAGTAATTTCTGACTTCCCATGTAGGCAAAATAGACTTCCCTTCTGTCTCCCGCTCTTGTTTCTTCCGTGGGGCTCTGGCAGTGCTGTCTGTCCCAGCATCACTCCCAAGGGGCTTTCCCTTCTCGTATTTGTTTACTGCTGTCCCACGTGAAGACGTGGGAAGGCCGCACCCTGCCAAGCCTGGACAAAGCAGGCAGGAAGGAAATAGTTGAGAGAAGTGGATGGAGAGGCAAGTAGAAGAAAGCAACCCTGGCACTCTGACTCTAGGGCAGCCCCCAGGATCGACCACGCATGTGGACTTCTGGTCCAGTCCTCAGCATGAGTGGACAGCCAGTGGTATCGACCCAGGAGTGGCACAGTGTCAGCAGGACGAAGTCTTCACCTGAAATACCAGTCCTGCCTCACTCACCGGTGGAGGGATCCTGCATGCTGTCTTCTGCTGCACTGTCATGCCAAGTTCCCCACATAGGTTCTTGGTCCTCACAGCAGACGATTCCTTTATAGAGGAAGTAAAAAATGCTCCGAGAACCCAGGTCGTCAGATTTGCAGAGATCATCATTTGAAGGCCACTCGGCTGACAGGTGGAGACGTTTGTTGTGTGGCTTCATATTCAGTCCCTGCAGCCCCATCTTCAGACAGACATGAACTTGCATTGGTGTCTCCAAGGCTTGTGAAAGCACAGTTGCTGGGCTCTTCCCACAGCATCTCTGACCTCGTGCATGTTGAGGGGTGGGAGCAGCTCCAGGCCACACCTGGGAACCAGTGTCCTGCAGAGTATGAGGATGTAAGAGGATCCATGTCTATCTCACCCTTCCCAGCAGAGCCCACTCCTGCTCTCCCTGCATCCATCCTCGCAAGGTCTGAAGCCGGGCTTTGCAGTTCATACCAAAGGGTTCTGTGTCCTTGGTCACATCCTCTGGGGTCCCTGCTAGGCAGAGAGCACTCAGCCTAGAACAGTTCCTGATTCTGTGGCCTGGACAGACTCTCAGATGATTGGCCCATTGTCTCATGGTGTCCCAAACCTGTGTGAGCTAGACAAGGAAGCCAGGGGCCTGGGCTGAGTCCCATCCTCTTCTGCATTGACTGCAATTTTGGGGACCTGTCTGCATGGGCATTGGCCTCTCTGCAGGCCTGGTGCTCTGCTCACTGGTCTTCTCTGCCGGGCCATCCCACAGTCTGCAGAAGCTGTCACAGTCCCCTACAGGGTTCTGTGGCATCCTGTCTCAGCTCCTGGCCACCTGCAGGTTTCTCTGCTGCACTGTGGGCTCACTGTACACAACAGGGGTGCCCAGTCATCAGGCAGCCACTTCACACTTCAGGATAAAAATAGCCCTGCTGCGGCCTTGCTGCAGCATCTACATGTTGCAGCTAGTGCATGTCTCCCTGGGGCAGCTGCCTCAGTGCGACACCAACCCTAGTCGCTTTGTCCTTGGGATCCTCCTTGGCCACCTGTCCATGGCTAACAGGGACTGCACCTTCTCCTCACCTACCTGTGACCCACTCTGGGCTCTAGCACACCATCCAGGCATGTGCCCTTCTTGGATTCTTTGTAGTGACAACATCTTGGTCAGAGCCAGGAGCTTGTCCATGTAGAGCATGACCAGAATGGATATGATATATGACCACCTAGGCCAGCCATTTGCCCAGATGTGTGGGCCAGTGGGCCGAGGCTAGCTATGGGCAGACAAGAATAGCTGGTGGGAGCCAAGAGATCTTGGTGGGTCTCCTGCTTTGAATGTAGTCTGGCCCTGTCTGGCAGGAGATCTCCAAGAGAAAGCCAGGTGAGTGGTTGTGTGGACAGCTTCCCTTCTTAAAGCCCCTGCAGTGGTATGGGATGCAGCCAGCACTGATGCCATCACAAGGAGCTGCTCTGACAAGTGTGACACTGTCCATTGTAGAGACACCAGCATTGCCTGGGCCCTGTGCTGTCCACTGCCTCCTGCTAGCCTTTCTGCCCCTGCCTGGGCTATAGGCTGTGAGTCCTCTGAGGAATCCCAAGCCATCATTATTTCCTCCCAGTGCTGTGGAGGAAGCAGCCTCCATGAGAGGTGCTGTGCTGGCCTTGCCCTGTCTGTTCTGTGAAGGGAGATGCAGTGACCAACTCCTCGAGACTGTTCTTGCAGGGAGACCTGGGCATGAGTGTCATTCTGGCACAGATCCTGCAGTTTTTTTGTGGTGATGGCTATGCTTCTATTACTCAGGCCTAGAACTTCAAAAGGAATCTGATGTCTAGATGTGGATATGGTGACTGACATTGCCTCTATCCAGGGCACAGATGTGGCTGGGATGGCCTCCTCCCCACAGGTACCCCATAGAGTAAGCTCTGTTGCCCACCTGGGCTGTGTGTGTGGGAGACCTTGCCAGAGAAGCATGGCTGGGCCATGTGATGAGATTCCAGTTGCTAGAAAAGACAGTGTGTATTCTGGAGTTTGGTTCTGGCCACTTCTTTTACCAAGGTGTGGTTCTCCCTGGAGCTGGTAGAAGCTCACAGAATATGTTCTGCTGACATAGTATGAGCCTCTCTAGGCATCTCCAGATGCCAGTATTTGATCAGGCACCGGCTGAGTTCTAGGATGCCCTGCTAGTCTTCAGATGTGGACACCAGGTTGGTTGGAGTAGGCAGCTGCTGCTCATTGACCTTTAGTGCCTGGGCAGAACGGGGGCAGCCAAAGCGTGTTTAATAGTTTCTCTCAATATATACCTTCAGTGGGAATTACCGAGTTCCAGGTTATCAGATGTAAACTGATGCAGATGTTGTTAAACTTTAAGGAAATACCAAATTGTTTTTGCATTTTCTAGTTTTCATTCCCACCATCCGCATGGACAAGATTCAATTGATTTACTTCCTTTCCAGATCCCAGTGCTGCCAGAGTTCTTCATGTTTGCCAACCAAATGGTTGCAAAGTGGTATTTCGTTGTTGGTCCTGATTTGCATTTTCCTAATTACTATCCATGTTAATTACCTGTCTGTGTGTTTGCTGGCCGCGTGTGTTTCCTTTTCTGGGAGAAGTCGCTTTGCATCTTTGCCCGTTTTTCTGTCATGTTTGTGTTTTTCTTATTGCTTTGTAGGTGTTTAATGTGTTCCAGAGACTGATCAGATGGTGGGGGTTTGTGTACTAGCTGAGTTCCACTTGCGGGTGACACAGTGGGGGGCAGCATCCTTGGGCAGAGCAGAAGGATTATGTGTGCCAGCGCAGACAGAGAGCTTGGTCCTAGGGCGCTTCTCTTCTGGTGGGTTCTGCAGGTTGCCTTCTGTGTCCACTGGCTCCTCAGACCTGGATAGAGTCCCAGAGGAGAAGGTCCAGCTATTGCTCCCTGCTCAAACCCAGCTGTATGGGGGACAGAGGGGAGAGACAGAAATGCATCATCTTGCCTCTCACAGCCCTGCTCACAGAAGGCTGCTGCTGTGTCAGGGCTGGCCCTAGGTCTGCAAGAGTGACCTTCTTCCCTCCCAAGTACCTATGCATGGTTGGCATTTATAGACAGAGCCCACAATGGCTGGCTCAGGGCAGAGCTGTTCCCTTGTGACCATCCCTGCCTCTCTCCACACATCACTTCCTGCCCAGGAGAGGGGCCCTCAGCAGGGCCTGTGAGCACCATGATCTGCCCTCATGCTGTGAGGTCATCTTGGCCTGATGACAATTGTCTATAGAGCCTCAAGGAATTTAAGGTACTGGGCAGTACTAGGATTTGTCATTGCACCCTCACCTAGGTGCCTGCTCCTGCTCTGAAGCCTGGGCTGTACCTGTTTCATGGGGGCCCTTGCTGGGCTTTCCCAAGGAGTGAACTCGGTCACTAGCCTGCTCCAGCAGAGGCCAGGCAGTACAAAGATATGGCTCCAGCACAGAGCAGAGCTGACTGATCCCTGCCTCCAAGGCTGTGGCCTAACATGGTGCTCACAGGGGCTCTTGGTTAGGAGGAGGCCATCCCTGGCTGATCAGGCCCTCCTTCCTTTCTCTGCCTGAACCCAGTGGATACAGGCCAGGCCTCACTGCCCCTTCCCAGGTCTACCCCTAGGTAGCCATGTTGGGGAGCTGCAGAGATTTTCTGGGACTCAAGCAATTCTTCCACAGTGTGGGGGAGATAGTTTGTTTTGTCCTTTGCTATATCCCATTCTTGGTACCCTCCTGTCTTCTCCTATAACTGAGGGGCAGAGTTTGATGGAATTTGGGTTTTTATGTTTCCCAGGTGCCACTTCTCCAATTGGGAGACTCTAGGCCTTTCTGGGGTGGCAGCTCAGCCCTCCGCTACCTAGTCCCTTACCTGCCACTAAGCAGGGAGAGGTGGACACAGTGGGGTGCTGGGATAGGAACAGGCGTGAGTCTTACCAACAGCCCTGACCCTGTCGGTCCTGTCTTGCAGGCTCAACTGTCACAGGCCATGGAGGAGCTAGGAGGCCAGAAGCAGAGAGCCGACATGGTGAGTCCAGCAATGGTATCCCCAGGTTCCTAAGGGCAGCTGGTTTACGCCACTGTGAGCCCTGGGTTTCAACAGGGCTCTGGTCCCTCTCAGTATGCATCTTGCAAGCATGAGCCGGTGGCCTCTTTGTGGTTGACCCCAGTTTTGCTTTTCCCAGTAAGATCACTGCCTGTGCATGTGGTGCCACAAACGTGAGTCCCTGCTAGAGCACAAAGAGCCAGATGGGTGATGCTCAGGTGCCTGAGGTCAAGCACCTCTGGGTAGCTTATGGGGACTACAGGGAGGCTCCAACCCAGCCCAGCAATGGCAAGTCAGGCCAGAGAGGGCTAGACACACAGGGGAGGCTGTGCAGAGCTTTGGTATGTTGTCTGTCACCTCAGCAGCACCAAGGGACATTGTTGCCACTTCTGTGGACACAGCCACAGTGGTACACAGTCCTGCCCTCATGGCTAAAGTGCTAAGCATGAGAGCTGAACTATTAATGAACAGCAAAATGTCACTGAAGCCCACTTCCAGTTTGGGGAGAAGATGAGGGGAACTGAACTTCTGTAGAAGGGCCTGGAGCTAAGGCCCAAGTGACCCTGAGCTGGTGGCAGGAGGGGACAGTGGAAAAAGCTAGGATTGGAAGGGACTTGGAAAGTCCTAGAGACAGCAAGGCTGAAGGTGGACAGGGTCCAGCCATGCAGACTTGTGCCCCTCCCTCCCCAGCACCCCCAGTGAAGGCGTGATCTCACTGGGGCAGGGGTGGCAGCCATCCTCCCTGAGCCAGGCCTCACTCCCTTTTCCAAGTCCACCCCATGGTAGTCTCAGAGATTTTTGGGACTCAAGCTTCTTCTGCCATGTGCACCTGATGCTTCTGTTCTTAGGAAGATGGCCTGGCAGCTCTGTGCACAGGAGTCATTGGGACAGGGGACCAGGGCAGGGCAGGACCAAGATTGTAGTGGGCAGTGGTGAGCAGTCAGATTTGAAAAAGGTAGATGCATGCTCCCTAGAAAATACTAGAACTAGGAACCCAGGTTACTGCTGCAGCATGAGTGGAGGGGATGTCAGGGACCTGCTAGATACTAGGCTAGGGCTCCTGAGTTGGGGCTGATGGGTCAGAATTGACCCTCAACCTTTGGACGATGTTTCTGTCCTTGGGGTGTGGGGTATAAAGATTGAACTGGCTGCCAGACGGAGCTATGTGAGCAGCAGCAAGCCCTTGGTTCTGGGGTAGCATCCTGGGTGGTCTCAGCATGCAGGGTGAGGGCAGGCAGGACTGGCCTCTGGTTCAAGTGTGGACAGCCCTGCCCAGGGGTTGGCTCTGGACATGCAGGAGACGGGCAGAGGCTGGGTAGCAAGATGGGTCCTGGGAGAATAGTTGCCCTGATAAGCAGGGAAAGCAAGTTGCTGTGATGGGGGCAGCTTCCTGGGGCTGGGACAAGGACAGGGCTGCAAGCTGTAGGCCGTGGCCCCTGGGTGCCAGGAGCGGGGGGCAGTGACTGTGCATAGCTCTCCCAGAAGCCCCTCTGGACCTTCCTCCTCCCCCATTTGCTGTTGCCTCCATGCTCCTTCTCCTGTGGGCAGCCCTACTACTGCTGTCTGTTCCCTGGCCTTTCCGTGCTCTGTCCTCATTAACTGGGCCCTGCAGGCTCCTCCAGCAAGGCCCTGTTCAGTGTTGACTTTGGGGAAGCCACAGGTGGGGTGGGCGGAGGAGTTCCTTGAGGACTGGCACATCCATTTGCACAGCCCGGGGAGACCCTGATGTTCAGAATGTCACCATGCATGACTTCCTCAGTGTTGACCTGAATTGAAGCGTGCCCAGGGGCCTTGTTTTCATAATGTACATGAGGCAAGAAGAATTAGAAATGAGTTGTGCTAAGCACATGCCAGGCCCATAGCGCTGTGGCTGAGCAGCTGGGTGGTTGCCTAGGGCTGTCCTTAAGTTTAGATCCCCTGTTTTGCTGCAGAAGCTCAAATGCCTTGACCCTGGCTTCTGTGGGGCTTTGGAAAAACCACTGGCCCTGGACCCTACCCTGGAGAAGTGGGAGGCCTTGGCCCTTGGGGACTATCGGTATATTTAGTGGGACTCGGCTTCTGGCTCACCTGCCTCTCACCTGCTGCCCACCCCACTCCACTTTCTGTCTCTATATGAAATCCTGAGCTTCGAAGTATCTGGCCCACTGCAGCCATTGACTTGGGATGTTAGGGGCCCTGGGCAGGATGTTTTATTTCTGCTCAGCCACAGTCAGGTTGGGAACCCCATTCTAGGATTCATACCCTAACTTGTGTGCAGAAGCCCTCCCCCAGCTTGCCGAGGGTCTTGGGATACCCTATAGAAGTTTTTGATGAAGTGTTATTATTCTCTGACCCCAAGGAGATGGTCAGGGTGTATGGGGCCTCATCTCTGAGCTGACTCTTGACTGGCCCCAAGACTGCTGCAAACAGGTGGACAGTAGCACCTCAGGTGGGTTTCTGCAGGCTCATTTAGGGTGGGGCTGTGGTGATCTCCCTGCTGTGTTTTTAAAACCCAGGACTTTTACAGTCAGTTACATCCGCAGCCTTTTTTTTTTTTTTTTTTTCTGAGATAGGGTTTCTCTAAGTTGCCCAGGCTAAGCTTGAACTTGTGATCCTCCTGCTTCGGCCTCCCACAGTGCTGGGATTATAGGCATGTGGCACTGCACCCAACTGGGATTTTCATCTGACTCTACCTTGTCTCCCCTTTACTTCACATTCTTTGTTTCACTTCTCCTTCTCTCTCTATGGCAGGGATGCCAGGAAGGGGGCACTGTCAGGGCAAGGGACACCCAGCCCTGGGAAATGGGACTTAGGGGAAATCTTCACATGAGCAAGGCATGACAGCTGGGGACACTGCAGGCCCTGGCACTACCCCATCTACCAGCTCACAGCCCCTGCCTACTGTTCCTCACACAGTGAGTCCACTAGGAGAAAGAGGAGAATTGTAAATGTCTTTAACAAATTGCTGAAGACAGGACAAAGACAGTTTGACTGTCTGTTATTAATTAGCAAATCACACTAATTAGTAAGCATAAGAAAGGTTCATGCTTTTTTCTTTAAACACAATTAACGTAACAAGGGGAAATGTCTGGGCCATACTTGTGTCGTTAACACACCTCACCCTAATTAGATATGGCCAGCAGTGGCTGGAGAAATGGGTTTTTTGATTACAACTATAAAAAACCCTCGAATAGTTTATATACTTCGGGGAGTGAGAATTGGAGACTTAGTTTCTGATGTCAGAGGCACTACACCCCGCACACCTCGGTGTAATTAAGCAGTCATTTTCCTTCATTCCCATTTTTCATCCTGGGGGCTCCTCCCCCTTGCTCCAGACCCAGTGATGGATCTGCCCCAGAGAAGAACCATGGCTGTTGCCTGGCCCAACCATGAACTGTGTGCCAACTATGCTTTTTGGTTTTATTTCTAAAGCAGGCAGGCCAATCCCACTGTTCTGTGCAGAGAAGAATCAGATGTGGGGACCTCCCATGTGCAAGAGCCGTTTACAGAGAGCTCTGGCTTATCCTCAGGGGCCAGTGCTGTGTGCAAACCTGGCAGGGCTGGTCCCACCAAGTGACATTGTGACACACTGTCCTTGCTAGCATTGAGGCCAAGCTGCACAGGCAGAGGAGAAACAGGCTGCCCTCAGCACTGTGACTGCATCTGAGTGGGACCTGCCCGTAAGTCTGCACACCAGCCCAGCTTTTCTACTGCCCTGAATTCTAGGACTGACCACCACCTTTCCCCCTCTGCACCTCTATCTAGTGACCTGTGCTGGGGTGAGAGAACTCTGTGTGTGGTGGGCATGTAGGGAAGCAAGTGTGGAGACCATGAGGCTGTTCTGCAGACTGGGGACCCACTCCTGGTTGGGAACCAGGTAACTTCCTGCCATGCCAGCCCTAAGGGCCCCATGTGTAAATGTCCTGAGCTGGGAGGGGCTCTTTGGGACAGGATGTCCCCAAGTGGGTCTGAAGTCTAAAACTGCAGCCTCCTGCCATCAGCTGCCCAACGTGCATTCAGCCTCTTGTGGATGCCCCACCTTAGAGCTTCTTCCACCCTGCACAGGCTGGGGCTCTCCCTGCACCACGCCTACTGCCTGCCTTGCTGTGTGACTTCAGTGAGCCTCTGCAAAAGGAATGATGGGCCTCAGAAGCCTCATAAGGCCTGTGAGCTCATGCATTTGAAAAGACCCAGCTATTTGGTAAAGCATTTCTGAGCAACACCAATGCCCTGGTTCTCCCTTGGGCCCCAGTGCAGCTGTTGTGGGGCTCTCTGCCTTCACCTAGTGAAGTTTCCTTTACCCTCAGTTTAGCTCTGAGTATACACTAGTAAGGCATCCTGTGGGGCCCAGCCAGGTATCTGTGTGAATGACTCGCCATAAGCATGTTTACCTTTGAAGTAAACTTATCTATTTTGCTAGGTGTCCTTCTGGGCTTTGCTCTGAGGAATCAAGGCCACTTGATGGCTGCATGGCTCAGACCCGTCTTGCCTCTATAACAAAAATGCCACACACTGGGGCAGCCTAAAGCCACACGGATTTATGGTTCAGCTCTGGAGACTGGAAGCCTAACATCCAGGTACTGGCTGGTTCCATGTTGGGCAAGGGCTGCCCCCTGCTTCTTGCTGTGCCTCACACGCTGGAGGGCAGAGGAAGCTGTCGGGACCCTCTGGGAGGTCACTGGTCCCAGTTGTTAGACCCCTCCTAATTGCCACCCCTTGAGTGTGATTTCAGCATTTGGTTTTGGGGGACAGATGCTCATGTACAACACTGTCTTTTCCTCCCCTTGCTGTGTGTGCCTGGCGGTGCTCCTGGCTCTATTCTTGTACAGGGAAGTCTTCACCCAAGCCCTCAGCGCATTGTGGGGCCTGCTGTCCCACGACTCCTGCCTGAGTCCCTCCCCTCTCTGATCACACCATCCACTGTGTGACTCGCTTGCTGTCCCTGCCTCCTGGAATGTCCAGGAGAGCCTGGCTTCCCCTTGAAATCAGCTGCACCCTTCTTC